CCCCCACCTCAGGGCCACCCACCCCCCTGCTGTCCTTAATGGGGACGGGCAGGGGACACACGTGTGGGTTTGGGGACCCGCGGACGCCCGAGGACAAACGGACGCTTGAGGACACGCGTCCCAGTGACACGCTGGTGGGGACACACGGATGCTTGAGGACAGCCGTGACGGTGACGTGCACTTGGGACAGGGGGACACACACGGACACCCAAGGGGGACACATCGCGGTGAGAAGGGACAAACACGGACACCTGAGGGGACACGGGTGCTTGGGGACACACGGATGCCTGGGGACACATGGACACCCGAAGACGCACGTCCCGGGGACACGCGCGCATGGGGACACACGGACACCCGAGGCATTGTGGTGACACACAAGTGACACATTTAATACACCCACCCGGGGACCAGCTGCGTCCCCGAGTCTCCCACCCTCCGTCACCAACTCCCCACCCTTGACAGCCCTAAAAAAAAAAAAGTACAAAACCCCCCTCAAAAAACACCCCAAAGAACTATCTGACAGGAAAAAAAAAAACAGGGAGCACCTGCCGAGCCCACCCGGTGTCCCCCACGTCCCAGCAGGTCTCGGGGACCCCCGGTCGGTCACACGGCAGACGTGGCGTCCCCCGGTCCCGCCAAGCGCCGGGCCGCATCCTGCCGTCCGATGGCCACCAGAGCCTGGCAGAGGGTCTCCAACGTGGCCCCCTCGGCGCCGGCCCAGGCGCTGAGCAGGGTGCGAGCGGGTGCTCGGCCCCGGCCGAAGGTGCCGATGGCGTCGGGGCTGAAACCCAGGCGGGTGGCCAAACTGCGCCAGTCCCCCCCGGGACCCCCGCTCTCCAGCAGCCGCTCCAGCTCCTCTTGCCGCTGCACTGGTACCGTGCTGAATGGGTGCCCTTCGGGACGGGGGGCTGCGGGTGGGGAGGGGGTCAGTGTCGGCACCCCCAAATCTCCGCCCGGCGGGATTTCTGTGCCGGAGGTGTTGCCGGCTCCCGGGAGAGAGACGCTTACCGGGGTATGGGTGCTCCTCAACCCTCTTTGGGTGCTATCTGGGGTATGGGTGCTCCTCGAGCCCACCCAGGTGCTCCCTGACCCCCCATTTGGGTGCTATCTGGGGTATGGGGGCTCCTCGAGCCCACCCAGGTGCTCCCCGACCCCCCATTTGGGTGCTATCTGGGGTATGGGGGCTCCTCAAGCCCACCCAGGTGCTTCCTGACCCCCCCATTTGGGTGCTACCCAGGGCATGGGTGCTCCCTGACCCCATCAAGGTGTCCCCCATTTAGGTGCTCCCCAACCCCATTTGGGTGCCACCCAGGCCCATCTGGGTGGTCCCTGGGGCATGGGTGCTCCTCAACCCCATCCAGGTGCTCCCCAGCCCTATCTGGGTGCTCCCTGACCCCCTTTGGGTGCTCCTCAACCTTGTTCGGGTGCTCCCCGGGGCATGAGTGATCCCCCCAACCCCATCTGGGTGCTCCCCAACCCCACCTGGGTGAACCCCAAGGTAGGGATGCTCCCTGGGGTGTAGGTGCACCCCAACCCCATATGGGTGCTCCACAGGCCCTGGGGGCACCCCAAACCCATGTGGGTGCTCCCTAGAGCACCCCAACCCCATCCAGATGCTCCCCACAGTACGGATGAACCCCAGGGACAGAAGCACCCTGAACCCCCCACCCATGAACACAGGTGCTCCCCAACCCCATCCCGATGACATCGGGGGGACAAATCCCCCCAGACCCCACCTCGCGATGGGTGCACCCCCTCTGCCTGCCCCCCCCCCCCCAAAAAAAACCCTCCATGGCTGGGTGGTTGGTGCTCACCCTTGCCGGGCTGGTGGGGCTCCTGCAGGCTGTGGGTGTCGAGGAAGACCCCGCTGTCACTGTGCAGCTTCTCCCCCTCGGGTGACGTCCCCAAGTCCCCTGCCCGCGCCTTGGCCAGCTGCTGCTTCTGCCTGCACGTGTGCCAGCTGCCCGCGGTGGGCAACCGGGTGTCAACCAGGACCTTTGGGGTCCCATATGTGCCCCCCCCCAAAAAAAAACCCCAACCTACCACTTGAAGGCCACGTAGGCGAGGAGTCCCACCACCACGGCGGCCAGGAGGGAGCAGTAGACGGGGATGATGTCCTTGCCGGTGGCCTCGGGCGGTGGTGGCACGAACTCGGGGGTGATGGGTGAGGGGTTCCCCGTCACCGGCTCGCTGCCCATGCGCTCCAGGTCCTCGTCTATGGGGATTGGGGGGGGGG